CTTTGAGTTGGCTGAACCGAACGGACAAACACAAACACACACTCACACACATTTACACACATTTACACACATACACAAATACACACATATACGCACTCACACATACACACACACACATACGCACTCATTCACACTCGTACGCTAACACACGTGCAAAGACACCCACATACACCCTTATAATACTATACACATACATGCACACACATACACAAAACACACGCAAAGATACACACACGCACACACACACACACACACACACAAACACACACATTCACACACACACACACACACACACACACACGCACACGCGCGCGCGCGCGCGCACACATAAACACACACACAGACACGCACGAAACTCTGGCATTCGATCGAATCTAGTTCTAGAATAACTGTCCTACGCTATTGCATACAAAATACATGAGATTGACGACAGCGTGTGGTAGTCTACTTTATCCAGTATCTTCGTATATCTCCTGGGATACTGTATCCCTCTCGGCTCTGGGTTAGCCGTGACAGGCGATTGAAAAGTAACCCGCTTCGTAAATTATATGTGAGGCAGCGTGGTGGAATCAGGCTCTCGTCAATTTTTGGACATGTAGAGTTATTGGTATCATCTTAAAACTTGTTCACTTGTCTTTATTTTGATGAAAAAATATCCATCTATCTTCAATACAAGTCGAGATATTTGCGAAAGAAAGAGGTAGGGGTCACCTGTTTTCAGAGGTAAAATTAAAGAGAAAATGGCCGCCAAAGATTAGTTATTTCCTTAGCTTGAGAGTCCGCGGTAACTAAAAGTTAGCATTTTTTGTGCCTTTAATCAACTTTTTTTCAGAAAAATTCACACAGAAATGAGTTCTTTAATGAGCATGAAAGGCGTTGATACAAATTCACAAACCTGCGGAAAAATGCAAGTTTCTTCATTTTGATTATTTTGACAAGAGCCTGATTCCACCACGCTTCCTCACATATAAAATGAGTTCATGCAGCTGTAAAACATTTAATATTGATCCTATTTTATTCGGTTTCATCTCTTTTGCACCGGGATATTTAGCTCACCTCACTTTTTTCATTGATCGTGCGTACTAGAGCAAGAAAATCAAAAAAATCTAAACAACTATACAAACAGGCAAATAAGAGTAACCCTTTTAATATAAAAGGCACAGAAGTACAAACAATAATCCACCGCCGAAAAAACACCCCCCCCCCCAAAAAAAAACACAAAAAAATTAAAAAAAAAAAAAACACACAAAAAACCCCCCAACAACAACCAACAACCCCAAAACAATAACACAACACAACAAAACAAAACAAAAGATATTCTACTTTTTTACCGTAAGTGATTGGAGGGAACCACTGGTAGCTCCTAAATCATTCCTTTCTCTCTATATTTATCTGTCTGTCTGTCTGTCTGTCTGTCTGTCTGTCTGTCTGTCTGTCTGTCTGTCTGTCTGTCTGTCTCACGTTTTCTGTCTCTAAATGACCGCTATTGTGTCGATGTGCTTCTTTTTACTAATACAAACACAGCATTTTGCTCGGTTCCCACATACTAATTAATGCTGAAACTTCTTTTATCTCCCTAACGGATAATTGATATTCATGACCTAAACTTGACAAGAGGGAATAGGAAATGGGGAGGGGCTTAAGTTTCGTTTTGGGTTTTTAATGACTACCGGTATTCACCTTTGGGGAAAAGAAAGAAAGGTTTAAGATTCATTGGACAGACAGGCTCTACTCGCGCGTAATAAATCCTCGTTAGAGATAAATAGACTGACAGAAAGAAGGAAGAATTAATTTTTCTCAACGTTCAACCAAAGCGAACAACGGCAAGACAAGATTTTATCTTCCTCCAAATTTGCCATTCTTCGGCGGCGTCGGTCGTTAAAGGCCCCCCTCCTGTACCGTTTGCCGAGAAGTGTTTATCATTAGCGCGCAAACGAGGGGTTCCAGGTATTTCCTGCGGGGCGTGACGTAGAATTGTTCTGGCCCTCGTTTATTCGCCTATATTGGTAGGTAGACCCCCCCCCCCCGAAAAACTAAACAAACAAATAGACAAACAATCAAGCAAACAAACAAAACTCATCAAACAAACAAGCAAATAGACACAAATAAACCGCCGTTTATTTATTAATACTAACCAGGATGACCTTCCTTTTTCACGGCCAATATCTACACTGGCTTAAGGAATTATTATATTCAAGTATTTTTTTAAACGTTTGTGACTTCATACATTATCAATAAATTGTTCTACTTCAGACTATGTTCTCAAACCAGGTTGATAAAGTTATTTTTAACCATTACATTTATCTTACATTTTTAGTGGGCGTGTGTAAACCATTATGATATGTGCTGAAATAGAGGCCCCCTCACCGCTGTACACGCAGAATACCAGTTAGACTCCCAAATAAGGAAGCCTGTTTGATCGAGTAGCTCTGTCTTTCTGCTGCAATTCTGCAAACTTCTCAGCCCAGCTTGGCCTTGACATTGAAGGTAAAAGCAACCTGCAGACTAAAATATAACCTTAATCACGTCGTTTGGCTCGTAAAACTCTTACAACAATATTTTTTTCACACATGAGCTTGCTATTTTGAACATTTTATTGAATAAACAGATTTGGGAGTGAATGCTCACGTTCAAATATTGACGAATAAAATTTGGGGTTGGTTTATTTTTATTTTTTTCTTGTCCCTGGGATAAAGAGCGCACGGCATGCCTTGTGTTTCTTTGTGATGGACTCAGACTTGGCAGTTTTCTCTGCGGCACGGCACTCAAAACTCTTTGCCACGCAGACTGACGATAATAGCAACTCACCATTTTTGTTTCCCCTTTTGTTGTCATTGTATTTTCACCTTCGTGTTCGTTTGTTCCTCGAAGAAAATGTTAATACTCTTGTGCCAAATGCGCGGTGCCAATACGGATAGTGCAACTATGTCAAATTTCCAGTGAATACCACGTTTGCGATCGAAGAGACGGGTCAGCTTTTGAGGGCCAGGCTCTAAGAAAAGCTTTGTTTTTGACGTATGCCTGGCGCGTACATCAGAATCTGGCTGGTGTCTCGGGTGTGGCGGTGGCGGCTAGGCGTTTTTCCCTTTCGTCAACCCGCAGCCACTTAACGAATCGTCAGCCACATAGGCCTACCAACCTTTGACACGG